TTCTAGGACACATTTATTTTATTCATGCTCATATGTACAAGTACACACAGAGTATTTCTCGTACATTGTTGAGCATAACTCAGTGTTAGCTTAATATCAGTTTAAGATAAAACAATGTTCATCCTTTGTAAATCTCGTCCACATCTCAGAAGTCTTGGTGTGAAAACATCTTAGAATAAAATGAATGTGGTGTACAAATGTAGCATATATTTTTAACTTGCTTAAGCTTCATTTTAGATGAATTAGCACACTCCCCCTAGAGTGGGACTGAGCAGGGAAGATAGAGTAGAATGTTTTAAAGTCCAAGGTATTAGACCAGAGCGACACAGAGGAGCAATTTACTCAGGGCTGACACTTAGAGTTATAATTTTTCCAAAGCCGGGCATGTATCTCTGAGCTGAAAATGACAATTTCGAGATCCTTCCATGGATGTCTCCTAGCCTGGCATCCTTCTGAACTCCCATTTAGGATAAGTGGGTCTGCAGCCAGGCTCTCCGGTCTGATTTTGAGATATCCCTGGTGGTGCTTATTATCTCCAGGGTTACTTCAGATTTTAAACAAAAAATTTTATTCCTTTTAATTTTCAAATATATACCATACATAAAGGGGAGATTTTATAAAATTAAATGAGTAGTCAGAGTAGCTCTGTCACAAAAGGCAGGAAATCACTGGTGTAGACATTTTAGTCCATTTGCAGAAAATTGCCTATTCTCAAATAGGTAGGTCAAGTGCAGAAAGAACCTCTACTTGAGATAAAAATTTCCTTTCCACACTTGGCTTTCTCTCTATTAGGACAGGCAGCCAAGAGCTGCCCACATTTTAATATTCAGCTGGATTCTCACTAGTGTATTTTGGGGGGGGGGGGTGTACATGTTAAGATATATTTGTTTATAATGGTATTTACTCTCATAACTACAAATGCTTTTAGAATCAGAGCAACATTAGAGAATAAATTACAACTCTTTATTTTGTAGATGAAGAAAAGTAGAGGGTGTTCATTGCTCAGCCCGGGAAATATAGCGAGACCCCATCTCTTTTTTTTTTTTTTTTTTTTTGAGTTGGAGTCTCACTCTGTTGCCCAGACTGCAGTGCAGTGGCTGCTCCCGGCCACCGCAGCCTCGACCTGCTGAGACCCCATCTCTTAAACAATAAAATACAATAATTAACCAGGTGTGATAGCGGCCACCTGTAGTCCCAGCTACTTGGGAGGCTGAAGTGGAAGATTGTTTGAGCCCAGGAGTTTGAGGCTGCAGTGAGCTTTATTGTGCCACAGCACTCTAGCCTGGGCAACAGGGTGAGACCCCCTGTCTCTAGAAAAATAAAATAAATGACTTAGCCGTCATCGTATTGCTTGTCAGTATCAGGCAGGGACAGACTTGGAACCAGGTCTCCCAACTCCCCTGCAGGTACACTTTTTACTCAGAGAGCGAGCACTCTGGTGCCATAAAAGCAACTGGTTTACTCTTCTGCTTTTGAACTCTTGTTTATTTAGGTACCTTGTGGAATGTCGGGTCATGAGAGACTCAGACCTTTAACAGCAGAAAAAGACCTTGTTCTGAAACTGTGCAACGTAAACAGCAGAGATACATGCTTTTCTCCTTTGCTAATTGACTGGTTTCCCTGTTTTAAAGAAAGAATGATACCAAACTTGCAGAACATCTCTAAAGGGCTTTTCAATAAACCCAGCCAAAGGAAACATTCAAGCAACTCTTAATAGAGTAACGTGGGACATGGAGACTCAGGGAACTCGTTTCGCTGGGACCTGGACTTGCAGTTCATGAGTCACCCTACCCAAGTGTGCACGAATGGATTCTGTGTTTGGGCAAGCAGAATCGCCCCCGTCAGCAGCATTTCAGACAGATAGAACTCTTAGGTTCACGCGAGGCCCCTTGATGTTCTTTGGGAGTGGAGCCAAGCCCACAAGCTCTTTTGTAGTTCCTCGGAATTCGCATCAGCCAGGCAGGCAAGGAGTCTTGGTACCATTTTCCAAGTTCCCCCCTGCCTGGGCCCCAGAGAAGTTGTAAGGCTTGCTGTGTTCTGAGGGACGGTGCTTGTGGTCATACCTCAGGTTCAGAAGTTGCCTTGAGAGTGTTTACAATCTCTCTTTAGGGGTCATGTGGCTTGGGGTCTGGAGTCCAAAGACAAATCAATGGATTGCTTGTGACTGGTCCAAAGACAAGCCAATGGGTTGCTATTGATGTCAGAGTATTTTTGGCAGAGGACAGAGTGGGTATGCGTGGAGCCATGTTTTGTGTCCATGACTGACCCTCGAGGGGTGGCCGGGGGCTGGGGCAGGTGAAACCGCAGTACAGCTAAGAGAGGATTGACTGGCACCAAGAACTATATGTGCTGGACCTGGTTTAGCTTTAGGGCATGCGTATGGTCCCAGTCAGCTTATCGTAACATCTCCTCTGCTTCAAGATTTGCCTCTTTTTCTGACATATCTCAGTATCTGAAATGTTTCCAATCTTTAAAAAAGTAACCTGAGAAAGCTAGCTTTAGGTTAGAACATTTGGCAGATTAGAGCATGGAGCGTCAACTCCAAGAGTGCCATCTGATGAGATACAGACAGCCAAAGAATCATCCTAAGAGTCACCAGGGCACAGAGGCCCAGTCATCTTGCAAGTTTCGAGGGCCCTCACAGTGTCATTGGAAGACAGCAGGTGCCATCACAGATGTTCATAATGACCCTGTGCATCCCTCAGAAGCTGTTACTTGATGCTGGTTGATTACTTGAGGCTTGAGTCTTGTTAGTTTGTCAGTTGCAGGCCAGAGAGATATATAAAACAAACACTTTTAAGTGTGTCAGGCTTTCTTTTCCCTCTTTCTTTTTTCCTCTCTTTCTGTCTTCCTCTCTTTCTTTTTTTGACTCATTTTTCAAGGATTAATGGAAGCTTTTTGAAAATTCCCGTGATGTTCCTGGTAGTTGTGGGGAAAAGTAGTGTCTATTCCTTGGAAGCATCTAGCAGTTCTTTCTTAGAAGTCCCTTGTATTTGTTTTCTAGGCTTTGAATTTTTTTTTTCCCTTCTCCTTTGGCCATGCCTTTGGCACCTCAGCGTGTTTTTTTCACCACCTTTGGTTAAATCAGTAAACACTGAGGCACTCTCTCAACGGGTACTCAGAGTCTTAGCCTGAACCTTCCCCTGACCTTCCCTGGCTGTCTGAACTCTCTAAACAGCAGCTGTGGAGAGCACTCTTATTTCAGTGTCATCATTTTGCTCCTGCTTTGATGGTGTATTTGAAGCCCTGCCTATGCCTGGGGGCTCTGTCACACACCAGGAATCTTACCATTTCACCATCTGTCCTGGGAAAGCTATGCAGATGAGTTGGGGATAGTTCAATTGTTTGTTTGTTTTGTTTTTGGGGGGGTGGCAGTTTTGAATTGGGGTCTCCGTTCTGTCACCCAGCCTGGAGTGCAGTGGCACAATCATGGCTCACTACTGCCTCGACTTCCTGGGCTCAGGCGATCCTTCTGCCTCAGCCATCCGAGTAGCTAGAACTGCATGTGTACACTACCATACCCAGCTACTTTTTGTATTTTCATAGAGATAAGGTCTTGCTCTGTTGCTCAGGCTGGTCTCGAACTTCTAGGCTCAAGCAATCCTCTGGGCTTGGTCTCCCAAAGTGCTGGGATTATAGGCATGAGCCACTGCACCCAGCTTGTGGGTAGTTTTTGATTGTTGGTGTTGCTGGGTGCCTTTCTCACCGTCGCCTTCCCAGTTAGCTGTCTGCATCACACATTCCTCCTAAAATATGAAAAAAGCTCATGCCCCCTATGCGTTTTATTGTACCCAAGTATTATATGTTTGTATCCCTATATATTTTTAACCAAAGAAGAAAAATAACCCTGCCTTTGTACGCAATCCTTTTAACAAATTGTTTATTGTTGTATCCAGGTAACAAGCATGGTAAGTATTTTCACCAAACTGAGTAATCTGTATTTTAGCTGTGCTTGGCAGACTTTTTTGGCTAGCTTTGTGTTATCAGCCTTGGCTTTTCTAGAAAAAGACCTATTTAGGAAAAGGAGAAACCACTTACCTGTAGCCTCTCTTACGTCCCAGCTTTAGTAAGCACCCACACCCACGGCGGGGCTACTTGAGAGCATGCGCCCCGCCAGCATGCTGCTTGGGCCTGTCACCCCTACCCTGCTGCTTCCGAGCCTCCCATGACCCCAGCAGCTCCTGGGCCTGTGACCCCACGACGGCCAGAGCACACACAGATCGGGCCTGAGCTCTGTGGACGGCTCTGTCCCAGACCACAACCACATCTCTTCTCTCACCCCTGCTCCCATCTGTGTGCCGGACCTTTGTTTTTTCTTCTTCCTTGACTGTGTTAAGTAATTGGAGAAATCCCTTTCTGGAAGCTGAAAAAATAAGTAAATGCATTGTCCACTCTCCTCAGAGGCTTCACATTCTAATGGAAAATGGATTTAAGCTTTTTTTTTTTTTTTAATTGAGCTGGGGTCTCACTCTGTCACCCAGGCTGGAGTGCAGTGGCACAATCATGACTCACTGCAGCTTCGAACTCCGGGCTGAAGGGATCTACTCTACTCAGCCTCCCGAGTAGCTGGGACTACAGGTGCACATGACTACACTCAGCTGATTTTTTTTTTTTTTTTAATATAGAGATGAGTTCTCACTAGGTTGCCCAGGAACTCCTGGGCTCAAGCATTCCTCCCACCTCAGCCTCCCAAAGTGCTGGAATTTCAGGCATGAGCCACTGCCCCTGGCCTGATCCTTTTTTTAAAACACACACATACACACACACACACACACACACACACACACCTTGCCCCACTGGGTGTTCTCAGTAAATGTTCACAGTTACAGTAGGTCAAGTATGTTTTAGCCTTCTGGCTGTGTTTATTATCCGTGCATGTTTGCTTTTTTGGCCTCTTTTGTGGCTCTGTATTTTAGTCCATGTGCTCGTGGCTGTGCCTGTTAACCTGCCTGGTAGCCATGCATTGTATATTAAGTTGGTGTGTCACTGTCACCTTCAAGGATCAGACCGCAAAGGATAAGGCCTTGCAGCACATGGCGGCCATGTCCTCAGCCCAGATCGTCTCGGCCACTGCCATCCACAACAAGCTGGGGCTGCCTGGGATTCCACGCCCGACCTTCCCGGGGGCACCAGGGGTAAGTCATGATAATGACATTCAGTAATGACAGTGATTAAGGTTGGGGTTGGCGTGGGCCAGCGTAAAGCTCTGCTCTGGTGCCACTTGTCATTCGGGTCAGGTGTACAAGAGGGCAAAAACTGCCTTATGAATGGATGCTGAGTGCAGTGTGATGGAAGAAAGAAGAGAGGGGAGGAGGAGGGGAAGAGAAGAAAAAAAAAGAAAAGGAAACAGGAAGGGATGGGGGAAAACCGAGAGGAAGAGGAAGGAATCCTTAGTCCCTGAAGACATGACATGGTACCCTCTGGGTTGTGATCTTCCTCTTCTGCTCTCTTTCTTTTTCCTGGTCCTTGGCCTCTGTCCCTCTGTCTTCATGGTCACTTTATGGCAACTGGCCCCTAGAGGGGCAAAGTATTCTATTGACATGTTCATTTAGATGCTACCAAGGGCTGAGAACTATTATGTTATAATCTCATTTAATCATCTTAAATGCTGCTGCTTGTTGCCATTTTACAGATGAGAAAGCTCAGATTATTTAGTAGCAAAACAAGAGTTTGGGTAACTTGATCACAGTCGAATGGCTAGTGATGTCAGAATGCAACCCCAGGGTTGCCTGATGCCAGAGGCTGCTTGAGTCCCTCTCTTTCATGCTACCTCCAACCAGCACCAGTCACCTTAGGGAAGCTTGCAGCAAATAAGATGCCTGTATTCCTTTTTTTTTTTTTTTTTGAGTGGGAGTCTCACTCTGTCACTCAGACTGGAGTGCAGTGGCACGCTCCCAGCCACCGCAGCCTCGACCTGCTGGACTCCAGTGGTCCTTCTGCCTCAGCCTTCCAAGTAGCTGAAACTACAGGCATACACTACCATGCCCGACTAATTTTTGATTTATTGTAGAGACAAGGTCTCGCAAGTTGCCCAGGTGGATCTCGAACCTGCGGGCTCAGGCAATCCACTTGCCTCAGCCTCCCAAAAGACTGGGATTACAGGCTGAGCCACCGAGCCCAGCCAGGTGCCTGTATTTCTTCTTGGAGCCCCTGGCTATCTTGTTGAAGTTCTGTCTTCTGCCCTGCTGGGCCTTCAGTGTCATGAGGCAGAATATTATACAGGGAGCATTTCAGAACAATGGGAGGAAGTGAAGGATGGGTGGGTGCTTTGATAAGGAAGTCAGTCAAAATACTGGTGAACCCCCTGGATCTCTGCTAGGTGTGAGGAGAACACAAAGGAGCAACTGCCTGCCCTATCCTCAAGGGGATTTTCAGGAAAAATGGAGCTAAGGGGAGCCACAGTTGCCACGTCAAGGGTGTGTGTGGACTGTGGTCTCATGCACAGAGGTGACATGTGCACTTGGGGAAGTGGCTCTGGCAGGTGATTGGAAGCCACTGTCATTCACCGGGGGTTGTGACAGGTAGACATCCTGATTTGTGCATTGGAACCAACTCATAATCCTGAAGCCTTTGCATTTTGCCTTCCAGTTCTGGCCAGGAATGATACAAACAGGGCAGCCAGGATCCTCGCAAGAGTAAGTCTGAGGAGGGGTCACACTGATGACAGGGGCTGGTCACAGTTCTCCCAGGGCTAGACTGCTTGGGGACTTAGAGAAGAAAGGGGGGTTAAACTGAGATCCCCCTCTTATTGTCCACTGAGGCCCACAGCAGGAAAGAGGCTGACCTCTCAGATCCAGGAGGGGTGTGAGTGTCTCACTCCCACCTTGAGTATTTGCGGTAATCTAGCTGGAGGCAGGAAGTGGGTCCCTGTCCCCTCCGGCCTTTGGAGGCAGACCCTGGGATCTTCCTTGCCTGAGAGGAGGCAGCTGAGGTAATCCAGGAGCCATTTCACTGGTGTGCCCTGGGATCCCTGTGGATAATAGGCAGTCCCACTGACACTTTGAGGGCAGGGGAAGAAAACTCAGTAAACCAGAAGGTAAGGGCAGCTTGGGGGATAAAAACAGAAGGGAAATCCTGCCTTCTGCTCACCCTGCCACTCTTCTGCCTGTATATTGCCAGAAGAACTTGAACTATTTGAGGAGAGAAGGAAAACCTGAGGCACGTCCTAGACCTTGCCTGGAAATGGTGACCGCTGACCTCAGTCTCTGCAGGGTTGAAAAGAGAGGTTCAAAGACAGAAGCCACAGCACAAGGAAGTCAAGTTGATGGCTGGCCAGCTCGTCCCATTGGACTGGCATGAGGCTTGGTGATTTGATCCCTAGCAGGCCACTGGCCCCTTTCAGTTGGATAGAGCAGGCACTCCTGCCTGGGATAGCGCTCTGCCTGGATGTGCCACCTCTTGCAGGCAGGGAACACAGTGGTGGGGACCTCCCATGGGGAGGCATGGCTGGGCCTGGGAAATAGCTGCTGCAGGAGTGGTGTCTGACTCTGTCCCCCCCCTCTGTCCCCAGCGTCAAGCCCTTCGTGCAGCAGGCCTACCCCATCCAGCCAGCGGTCACGGCCCCCATTCCAGGTGAGTCTCCCTGGGACTCCTTTTTGGGGTCACTACCCCACACAACTGACAGCTGGGCCTGTTGTTTTGTTCTCAGAGTGGGGAGAACAACCTGCCCTGTCCTCAGGAAGTTTTTCAGGAACAAAGGAGCTAAGGAGAGCTCTAGTTGTCAGGCCAAGGATTTGGACTGTGGTCTTGTGCACAGAGGTGACCACAATCTCCCCTGACTTCATGGGCATTCCCTGTCTACCCTATCCTCCTTGTGACGGCATGGGTTAGCCCAGAGCTCAGGAGAACCACAGGGGTGTCCCCTGCCAGGGCCTGGTTCCCTTCGGTCATCTCCCAAGAGCGTTTCAGATGGGTCTTTATACAGAAACAGGAAGCCTAATCACTTTCACTTGAGACACTGGATTATCCTTAGAGGAGGAAGTTGCTGTGGCTCCTTCCTCATAAACTGGCTGAATTGGGCAATCTGAGTCTTGAGGGCAGATGTGGTTTTATTCACCCTTTCTTAGTTAAGTAGATTTCAATCCTGTTACTCTTTCTTTAAAGGAGAGCTTACATGGAAACTCAAAATAGAAAACACAAATCTGACAAGCCCACCTGTCTCTCTCTCCACCGGATATGTCCTTCTCCCTGCCCCCCTGCCCAACATGCATGTAGAGTGACTCAGTGGACTTCCTCGAGGTACCATCTGCAAGTCACTACTCTCCATTATGGATTCCCCGAACAGAAATACATTCACATATTACTCTCTCTCTAATACCATGGAGCGTTCTGAGAAAATATTCGATAGCACTGATGATCACAGTCTTAAAGAAAAAAATGGACAAACACAAGGAGTTCATGGCACATCAAGGTCTCATAGGAAGTCTTTGGAAGCATTTGCTTCTGAATTTTCAGTCATTCTTGGCTTGGCCCAGCTAGGCCTCTTTGTCTAGGGAGAGGTGCCCTGGCCTTAATCTTCGCTGCAGTTGACATGGGGAGCACATGCATTGCTTGCATGACTGGCCACTGTCTTCAGGATCCTCCGCCAGAATCCCACCTCTACCTGACTGAGTTTCACCCCCTAGACCTGGTGGAGAGGGGTCATCAGCCTTTCCCCCAGGTCATATATAGAGTCCTGCCCCACTGTTGGCCTGAGACCTGAGAGGAGGTGAGTGGCCAGGTTTAAAGATGATGATTGGTCTTTCAGGGTTTGAACCTGCATCAGCCCCAGCTCCCTCAGTCCCTGCCTGGCAAGGCCGCTCCATTGGTACAACCAAGCTTCGCCTGGTGGAATTTTCAGCTTTTCTTGAACAGCAGAGAGACCCAGACTCGGTGAGTGTGCCCAGACAGGTGTGTCTGAATCCAGGGTTTGTTTCCCGTTCCTGTTCACCTTCTTGCTCTTCTGTCTTTCATCCTTTCCTCCTGCCCTCATGCCCGACAAATGTTCCTGCGTGAAATCAGATGTAGGAAAGTAGCCAGGCAGCCTTTCATGTCAGTAAAAAGCTATCCCTACTGGCAAATACGTAGAACTTTTGAGCTGAATGCTTATTACTGCTTTGAACCTCAAGCTCCAGAGAATACTTAAGCTGGAGGGAGGGGCCTTGACGGGCTCTTGTGTTTTGTAAAATTTAACTACAAGTAACATTTATTGAGCCTTGCCATGTGGTTGGTATTGTGCAAGGTTATTTAGATATATGATTTCATGTCATCTTCACAAAAACCATATGAGAGTAGGTACCATATGATAGATGAAGAAACAGAGAGGGTAAGGAACTTCCTTAAAGTCACACAGTTACTACCTGATAGATTAAAGATTCAGACTCTGGTCTTTAAAACTCTAAAGCCTCAATATTTAGCCATAATTCCATTTAGCCTCTCTGAGTCTGTGTTCCCAAGATAACAAGTTGTTCTCTTCTTAAGGAGAAGTAACAGAATGGCACTTAACAGTTTGCCATAGAATGCATGCAGTATAATATCCTAAATACCAGTCCCACTGGCATCTGGACTCTGTTTGTCACTTTCTGCTCTTCCGTCTCCTCCCGCTCCATCGTGTGCCCGTTGTTCCATTGTTTCTCCACCAGGCATCTCCCATACATATGTGATCCTCCTCCTTTCCCACCCGAGCAGCCCCGTACCCTTTCGTCACGCCCACTCCTTGGCTGTGCATGTGAGTGTTGCATCTGTGTGTGGGTGAGCCCAAGGCAGAGACTGAAGGAGTCCTGAGTTTGTCTCTGGGATCCTCACCAACCCCCTTCCCCATTCTCTTCTCACCCCATCCCTCCCATCTCAGGGGCACACAGGCCCCCAGGCTCCCTGTGCGTGGCTTGCCTTGTCATCTGTTGTCAGGAGAAAGTGTCAGGAATGAGTTCAGAGGCTGCACAATTGGAGGTGACCACTCAGGGCAGTTTCCACTTTAGCTCCGTGGAAAGCCTTCTGAGGGTGGGTGGGGATGTGCTGTGGACAGAGAAGTTCTATCAGTTATCACCAGGCTGGAGCCCGTGTGTGGCCCACTGATGTCCTTGTCCATGCATCGTGAACTCTGGGAACTGGTGGAAGAATAGAGCCCCTTCAAAATTAGGCGCAGGGGAAATGAGGGGAAAGATGTAAATTGGGTCTCTCAGGGCAGGCACAAGTCAAGGGGGCTGTTGAGGCCAGGGATGAGAAGGCCAGTTGGGTGAGTCTTCTCCAGTGGCTGGGTGGCTTGAAAGAGTGATGGGGATGGGTTGATTCATATACGTGGGGGCAATTAAACCACAAGATCACCGTCGCAATCCCGGGCTTCCTGTTCTTGTGTTCTGTGTACTTCCGTATGGATGTATACTTCTGTACCCATAGCTCTTTGATTGAAGGTTGGACTTTGGCCCAGAAATTGCTTCTGCTCCTCTAACTCATGTTTTCTGTGACACCTCATTGTTCACAGAGCACTTTGTTGTTGATTATTTCATTCTGTCCTCATAGTGCCCTGCACAGTAGGTTCTGTGTTCTCTACTTTACAGATGAGAAAACTGAGGCCCAGACTTACTAAATGACTTTCGGAGGATAATTAGCCAGTAAGCAAAGGAACTAGGGGCCCACATCTGTTTCCGTGTACTCTCTTCACTACTGTGAAACACCACCTCCCAGTTTTGAGGGTCTCCTGATTGTCTGTTAAGTCTGGGTATCTCCTGTGAGTCTTTGCATGTGACTTTTTTTATTTTTATTTTTTATTTTTTTGAGTCGGGGACTCACTCTGTTGCCCAGGCTAGAGTGCAGTAGCATGATCATGGCCATGCAGCCTCGATCCCCTGGGCTACAGGTGCACACCAACACACCTGGCTGCTATTATTATTTTTTTTATTTTTTATTTTTTATGGAGAGGCAATCTCATTATGTTGCCCAGGCTCATCTTGAACTCCTGGGCTCAAACAATCCACCCACCTCAGCCTCCCAAAGTGCTGGGATCACAGACGTTGAATCTCCCCACCCTGCCTTGTGATTGATTTTTTAAGAAACAGAACTCCAAGGCACTGGGAGATGAAGGTCCCCAGGTGGTTTTTGTTTCCTTGACTAAAAAACTATCCAATGCTTCATCACAATGATTGTTTTAAGTTAAAAGGCTGTGGCAGCCCCTTATTGTTACTGTGCTCTCTAGTTATGGACCTTTTAGGGACCAACGTGTTCAGTTACCTTTTCTGTTGTTTTCTTTTCTTTCTTTTTTATTTTTTTTTAAGTTGGAGTCTCACTCTGTCACCCAGACTGGAGTGCAATGGCTGCTCCCGGCCACCGCAGCCTTGACCTGCTGGGCTCCGGCGATCCTTCCGCCTCAGCCTTCCAAGTAGCTGGAACTATAGGCACGCGCTACCACACCCGGCTGATTTTTTGATTTATTGTAGAGATGAGGTCTTGTTAAGTTGCCCAGGCGAGTCTCGAACCCGCGGGCTCAGGCAATCCACTTACCTCGGCCTCCCAAAGTGCTGGGATTACAGGCTGAGCCACCAAGCCCGGCCTGTTGTTGTTTTTCTAAGAAGTATTTGTTGGGCTTTACTTTTGTTTTGAGTCGGGGTCTCACTCTGTTGCCTAGACTGAAGTGCAGTGGCAGCATCATGGCTCATCATAGCCTCGACCTCTTGGGCTTTGGTGATCCTTCTGCCTTAGTCTCCCAAGTAACTGGGACTATAGGCATGCAATACTACCCTGGGCTAATTTAAAAAAATTTTTTGTAGAGATAATGTCTCACTATGTTTCCTAGGCTGGTCTCAATCTCCTGAGGTTGAGCGATCCTCCTACCTCAGCCTCCCAAAGTGCTGGAATTACGGGCTTGGTGGTTAACATTTTGATTTGCTGATAGATTTGTAACCTTTGTGTGCATCTGCCTGTGTGAGGGGCAACTCTGGAGACAGGCCCAGACTGGGCTGTCCAGTCACCCCCTTGGTCCTTGAAGGGTTTAACATCTGGTAGGGAAATGAACACGAAACAGGTAATTACACGAGAGGTTTTTGCAAGTACAGTGCCTGCTAGGAAGGAAGAATGTTGACTGCTGTGAGGGTGGTGACAGGAAACAGGGTGGGCTTCCTTCAGACAGTGACACTTAAGCTGAGAGGTGGAGAATTATACAGGGAAAGAATAAGGGAGAACATTCCAGAGGTGGCAAATCTGAAGTATAAATGGCAGTAAATGAAATTGGTGACTAGTTTAGGAAAGCCAGGGTCCTCCACTTCTCCAGAATAGAGGCCAGGGTTATATATTTCATGTATGTTCAGATTTACAAATAATAGTCTGAATTGTGTGACTGGATTTGGCCTATTGATGTTGAATTTAAAAGCTTGTGTATGTAGATGAGAACCCACCACTTGATGTCAAAGGCTCTGAAATAAATGGGTCTGGTATGAGTCAACACCCTTGGTACCTTTTAAGCACCAATTGCATGCCAACCACTGCTTCAGGTGTTAGGGATTTAGCAGCAAAAGAAACAAACCTCTTTTTCTCATGGAGCCCACACCCTGGTAGAGACAGGCAAGACCCCAGCAAATATATGTACAGTATGTCACAGGATGCTACGTGCTTATGTGGAACAATGGTCCATTCTCACAAGTGATTTATTTATTTGTTTGTTTGTTTGAGAAGGGCCTCACTATGTTCCCCAGGCTGGCCTCAAACTCGTAGACTCAAGCAATCCTTCTGCCTCAGCCTCCTGAGTAGGTGGGATGACAGGCATGTGCCACCACACCCTGCCTTCCTGACAGCTTAAAATTACTTGCTCTTTAGATTAAAAATATAGAATTTCAAAAAATAATAGTACTCCTTAATATATGTGTTATTATATATTGATGTTTCTGGCTTGTTTTATGCTAGCAAATGATGTCCATTAGATATTGGTGTCCACAGATATTGTCCTTTAGATGTCCAGAGCTCTGTCACTATGGTGAAATCATTTTGCTTGACCTCAGTTTTAATTGTTGATGTTGCTTCTGATAGTTCTGTTATGAATACTTATTTTGTAGGTAAATACAAATGAGTGTAATATATACGAATGAAATATGTGACAGATTGCGAATAGGGTATTTAATGGCTTTAGAGGAAACCTGAGAGCTTGAAGGATGGTTCTTGTGCTAGAGGAAAAAAATGGTAATTGATCAGTTGAAATGGGAGAAAAATAACAAAATTATTTAAAGCATTTGATAATGTCTCAAGCGCCAGCCTCTCAAATTATATAATAGGTGCTTTATTGGACACAAACACAGGGTGCTATTACAATCAAGGTGTAGTAGTCCTCTAAGACCAAGATTACACTGAAAAACATGTACCATGTGGATGGTTTTTTTGGCTCTTAGACTTCTGTGATTTCTCAGGCTTTAATTTTACCTCATTAAATGTTACCAACAGTAGGAAAATCAAAACCATTTAAAATAAATTCAGATGTTATGTTTTAACAAATTTGTGTATGCTGAACTTAAAATTTAACATCAAACATTAAGCATAGCCAGGCTCGGTGGCTCAGCCTGTAATCCCAGCACTTTGGGAGGCTGAGGTGAGAGGATTGCCTGATCCCGCGGGTTCGAGACCCACCTGGGCAACTTGGCGAGACCTCATCTCTACAATAAATCAAAAAGTTAGCCTGCATGGTAGTGCACACCTGTAGTTCCAGCTACTTGGAAGGCTGAGGCAGAAAGATCGCCGGAGCCCAGAAGGTCGAGGCTGCAGTGGCCGGGCGCGGCCACTGCACTCCAGTCTGGGTGACAGAGTAAGGACCCTAAAAAGTTAAATTTTGAGCCAGGTGTGGTGGCTCACACCTGTAATCCCAACACTTTGGGAGGTGGAAGCGAGAGGATTGCCTGAGCCCATGGGTTCGGAGC